ATACTTAGTAGTAACCAAAGGCAGAATAACATTAACTTATGCAATAACTTGAAACTCACCTTGGTTTCTAAAAATGTGTATATGCTTATTTTAGAACAACAAACATTGTAGTTATTTATTTTTTACACATTCCCTATGTGGTCAAGATAAACATCTCAAGTTCCTGTTTTATAAAAAGCCAGTTTCACAGACAGGATGTAACAGACTAATCCCAATGAAGTCTTCCCATACATCAGGATTTCTGCAGTAAATTAGTCAACACTTAATGTAAAATAATACACTTTGAACTTCTGAAGAACCTTTGACCATGCACTAGAACAACAGTAATTTTCTTAGCTTTCCCACATCACAGCTCTTGGCTATGCGTTCCTATCTCTAAATGCTGATTGAGAATGCATACCAAACAAAAAAAGATTTAAAGATGTACAAGTTAGAGAACACAATCTAAAAATCAATTAGAAGGCTATCAAACTGATTACTTTATACAAATGCTAAAAATCCCCAGTATTTTTGGGTGATTTTCATAGTAACAGTATCATCACGGGAAGTCTTATCAAGACCAACTCAAGGCTCCTGTCACTGGGTACAGCCCTCTCTCGACAGATATATGGCAGCTCAACCTAGTTATGGTAGATCAGTATCCCTGGAGCTGGGTAGAAGAAAATGAGTCATGCCCAAGTTGCGTAGGCCCAGCTTGTCAGAATCAGGTAGGAGGTCCTCAGAAAAGCAGAGCTGTCTTCAGAAAGCTTAGAGCTGGAAGGGCAACAGAAAAACCTGCTGATGGAGAGATGACAGAGTTCAAATATACCACGGAGCGACACTGGGGGTATTAAGAAAGGGTCTGCTACATACTACTACTCTAACACAAGAAAAGAATACCAGCTAAATAACCTGTCAATAACAATACTTAGACTGAATGCTCAGAAGAAGTGAAGGAAAAACCTCACAGGACACCAGAAGGTGCAGAACACACTGGCAGAAGCACTTCTTCACCAGAAGAGTTACAATCAAAATACTGGAAGGCTGTAAAGTAAAAAAACTCAGTTAAGGGCAGGGGAAGTTACAAGTTCTTGATGTCTTATCTCTGAGTGGGAGTCCAATGCCACGCAGCTACACAAAGGTCAGGATTTTTCCTGGTTAATTGTTTTTTAATATTTTTTTCAAACCTGTCTATAAATCCAGCCATTCACAGCTTTTTTTAACTGTATCTCATAGTTATGACAATGCAACTGCTGACTGAGCTATCAAAACACAGATCACTCCTGAATTTCTTCCATTCTTCAGCACTAAAAATAAAAAACACGCTAAGAAATTAAAAACTTAGAAAACTGAGAAACTAATTATATTTCAAAGACAGGTAACAGTATTGAGATGCTATCAAAAAGTAAATGATAATTTGAAGTTAACACCCTTTAGAGGAGACAGGACTTGAAATTTCTGTCCTCCCACCAGAAATAGTAAAACTAGATTACAAGGAGCTTTACTAGAGACAAACAGAAGAAATGGAATTGCAAAAAACAAACTGAGTCTCCATCACTAAAGAAATCTACTACCAGTTTACTAAAAAAGTAACAGAAGTCTTATAGCTCACAAACTTTCAAGACCAGTGCATGCCAAACTAGTTACACAAAAGCATTTCGCTATGTGCTCAGATTCACCATCCTCTTTGTATTAGCTCACCATACATGAAGTCTCACACAAAACCACCAAATTTCAAATGTATTATTCAAGCCCCAAAAAGGTCACTGATGCAGTTTCACAATCAGCTCTGTTCAGACTATCACTAGGTGCCATCAGAGGAAACAGACCATCCTTGATCCCCCCTCTCCTGATACCATGGTCCTCCCTCTTCTTTGCACTGGTGCTAGGCTTAAAGCAAGTCAGGAATGAGTCTGATAAAGAATTCATACTTTCACCTGTTGCCTGTGGTTCTTGACACATTCCTGCAAGCCAAAGCAACAGACAGTGCTCATCACAACATCAGGGCAAGTCAGGCAGTGCAAAGCAGAAAGGGAGCGTGAAACTCCTTCCCTCCTTGCGTGTTTCCAGTAGTGGGATAAGCATGCCTACTGCTACCAGCTCTCTTGTGGTAACAACATTGTGTGCATGGCCAGCTGGGGTCAACTCCAGAGCAAAAAGCCCCAGCCACCCACATTAGAACAGCTCAAGCCAACTGCAGAGTTGCAGCTAAAAACACATTTTCCAAAACCTTCGCTTCTCAAATGTCAAAGTCTGATCAATTTGAAGAGCTCAGTGTTAAGATGATGGCTAAGTTCCAGAAAAGAACCATAATTAAAAGAAAAATCGTTCAATTACTTTAAAAAAAGGTTATATTATGTTGCCTATTGTTTGTTCAGTAAATACAATGCAGTGCTGTAGTTAAAACTGGTCTCAAATATTCTAAGACATAATTTGAGAGAAAATTATTAGCCAAATACAGGTGCAGGTTCTCTGCCACACCCAAAGGTAGACAAGTTAATCCATAATCAAGGATTAAATTTAAACATGAAAAGAATCCAGAATTTTCCAGAATTACAAAGCAACTTAAAATTGGGTGAACATGAAAATGTGAAAACCCAGTGTTATCTTCAAGCTTAGAACAGAAGGTTCCTTAAAACCTTCTACCAAATTAAGTAGTGAACAAGCAGAGCCGGAGTGAATAGCAAACATCCTCATCATGTTCCCTCCAAGGGGGACAGTTCTGTTGGTCCAATTTTCATAATCGTGACTAAATACCTTCAAGCACAGTGTCACATGCTACATATTCAGTTGTCATTTAAAAATACTGTTGAACAGGCACATACACATAAGACAAGGCAACGCTAATGATAATCTATATATTCAATTAAGTAAATACATTAATACCTGATGAAATACAGCAAAAATAGAATAATAGGCTCTTCCCTAGTCCTAAAACTCATCACACATCCCTTTTCTGTAAAGCATCTAGATTATCTTTGCCAACTCCTTCTCTAAGCCAAAAAATACCTCTAATACTGGGAACCCATTTAACAATCTACGTAATTTGACTGTTATAGGTAAAAACTTTCCAACCTATATTTAATCTACATCACACCCACTAAAATTTACTTCCTCTTAACCTACATCTCAACCACAGTAAAAAAAAAAAAAATTAAAAACTCACACTGCTTCCGTTAACCATTTCTTACATACCCATCCCACAGCCTTTTCCACCACATCAAAATAATGCAATACTTTCATGAAAAGAAAAACTCATAGGTTCTGAACCTCTCAAGCCACACTGATACATTCCTCTGTACTTTTTGGATTTAATACTCAAAACTAGATACAAATGTGCAATCAGAAAGAAAAAAAGCCTTCTCTAATTTAAACTTGATCAACATACCCAAGGATGGCATCTACTTTTGCCAGCTGTATGTTTGTTGCTCATTTGGACCGATTTGTGACTACAAGTCCTGAATTATTTTCTACAGCTCTGTTTCCCAAACATCTTTATCTGAACATCCCATAACCTCTTCCTAGCACAGCATTTTATATTTAGCAGCTCTTTATCTTTTGGATTGTACTTCTCAAACCAGTCAAAACTACTGAATTAAAAGTTTATTCTGTTGCTCTCCAGACAAGTGTTGGCATTCTCTCCTAACTCAACTGCAAATTTGCAACTTTTACCTTTTAGGAAAATGACAGGTAATATGGCTAAAATTACCCTCTGAAAAAGTAATCTGTTTTTTTCCAAACCTCCAAGAATTCTTCCACCTTTGTAAAAAGTAACTTAGAACTATTTGGGAATTAGTTAGTTAGATAGGCAAACAGCCTCCATGACAAATTGAAAAAAGCATTTATTAAGTGGATGAACACAGAACTATCCTGAAACCTCTTAAAATTTAAAACTGTTTGTAAGATGTAAATTACATCTTACTATAGATGTAACTGTTTTTAAGCATATGTATTTTCCAGACCACACAGTCATGTAATACAATAAATCCACTTTTAACACATTTGATTTCTCAAATAATTGTATTTCTTGTTCACCAGAGTCACTACTAAGTGGGAGAGAACACAACTGATAGGCATCTCGGTACATTTACAGTTCATAAAACATTAAAAAAATTGTGTTTTTTCCATACAGACTGACACATCAAAATTGATTAAGCACAAATTGTAGACAGCGTCAGTACTATTCACAGTAAGAACTGCTTAATACCAGCTACAACCAGATCAATCACAATCAGAAAACAAAAAGAGAGAGAGCTGTTCCGACACGGCACTTCCACAACACCCTTGGGAGGTACGACTGCTGCTTCACTGCGGATGTTCCAACTTCCTTAGTTTATACAGCAAGCCAACAGATTGGACAATTCAGATTTCAGAAATGCCACATCCTCAAACAGCACCGCGAGATCACGTAGCCTTGCACCTCTGCCTTGGAGTTATTTCATTGCTACTGCTGAAGTTTCATTAACTATAATTAAAATTCATGTCTTTAAGATGTTGGGCTGAGAAGAAACCCAGGTGTGTGTCATCAGCTGAAGTTCAGCACTTTCAGCTCAGGCTATCAATACCATTCCAAACAACATCGGAAGTTTTTCTCTGAGAAATGCACACTACTTTGATTCTGAAGGGATATGGGTTTTTGTTGTTTAGTCCACCTTCCATGTTCTTTCTTCCAATTACAGAGCTTTCTGAAAAGCACCTTATGAGACAGGACAAACTTTTAAATGTTTCTGAGAATTTCCTAACGTACAAACCCCATTTTCTTAAGTGAACCGTCTAAAGGCAGTAAAGCCTCTTCCTGTTCATTACAAGATAGATTCAGAATGTGTATAAGCAATTCGGAGCCATCAAAGCCTGCTGAAATTGGATTACTTTAGTTTCAGTACAACCGCTGGTTTTAATTGCAGGCATTCCCACTTGCCCTAAGTACCGTAATGTGACTTTTCTTTAAAGAATTAAGTGAAGGCTGGAATGCCTTCCACTTTCCTAGAGAACTAAACCCCCCTGGGGGCAGGGATGGACACCTCTGCCTCGGCGGGAGCAGTGCTGGATACAGCGGGACCGGCGAGTCGGCTGTGGCGGCTCCCCC